AAGATCAACAATTTATATTGCTGACAAAAAATTCAAAAAATCGAAATGCAAATAAATTTTTATCGATTGATATTTTAAAAAATATAACTTTAAATAAAAAATATTGTCTCATATTACAACCGAGAAACAAATGAAATTATTTCGGGAAGTAAGGCAGATGTTACCAAGAGAGGGTTTGGAAAAAAACTTCGTCTACCTTTATAAGGTTTAAAAAATATAAAGGATATTCAAAAGTAAATAAAACATATACAGGAATGACATTTAAAATAAAAAAATTCTATGAAATTAAACAAGGACCACTGGTAGTACTGTCACTTATTCTTTGTCTTAAATCATTATTTTCTCTTTTCATCGTTTCTAAAATTGCTTCAGTTTGCTTTTGAGTAGCTTTAATTTGCTCAGAGAGATGCTTTTGATAAAATTGATTTTGATTTTCTATAGCCTTTTCCTTTTCTTCACTTAATTTCTTGCTCAATTCATCGATTAATCTACGGTTTTTATCTTCAGCAGATCTTTGTATTTGTTCAAATTGTCTTTGTTGTTCATCAAGTAAATTTTTATTTGAATCATCGTTCAACTTTTGTTGTGCAACCATAGCTTCTTGCATTTCATCCATTTTCTGATTATATTTTTCAACAACGCGTTCCCTTTCTTCGATAAGTCGATATTTCATATCTTCGTGGGCTCTTTGCTGTTCTTCAATATTTGTTTCTAATTCCAACATTTTAATCTTAAATAATCTTTCGGTTTCTTCACGTTCACGTTTCTGACCTTCCATTTCCATACGGAATTCTTCTTCACGTGCTATTGATTCTAATCGTAATCTTTCGGCTTCTTCTTTAGCGATCATCGCTTTAGCTAATTCTGCGTTCATCTTTCCCAATTGCGTCATATAATCAATTGCGGTCGGATATTGATCTTGCATATATGAAGCAATTACTTTGGCAGCTTCTGGAGACTTCATCATAGTTTTCTCAAAAGCTAATTCGAAATTTTCTAATGCTTCTTGGAATTTATCGGTACTCTTTAAAAAAAAAAAAGATATATTTATTGAAAGTAAACAAGAAATTAGGTACTATTTGATATTTCCAAAAAAAAACTTGGACCATTTTTTAATCATACCTCAAATAAATTTTCATGCGTTAATCCAGATTTTACATATTTTTCCCAAAATGTTTTTGCAATATGTTCATTATGAATCGTTAATTCTTCGGAATTTTTTTTCAAAAATACTTCTTTACATTTATTTATATCTTCATTTAATCGACCAATAAAACTTTCCATCTGGGTAGGACTTCCAATGACTTTTTCAAAAAATAATTTATTGACATCTGACATACAATCTTCATGAATTTCACCAAAGTCTTCCCATAACATTGGGAGCTTTCCTTCTTCATTCAGAACATCCATTCTTTCTTGATATAGAATTGTAGATTCTTTTATTGCTTCTTGTGCAACGAATTGAATAATTGATTCATATTCGGATGGAATCGAGAGAAGAGTTGATGTTTCCGAACTGTTCATACGTTCCACGATATCTTGCAAGAACTTTACAAATGCTGTTCCTTTCATGGTGGATGAACCTATGTATTTTAGGGGTAATTGAGAATAAATTTCTTTAACGGTATTCTCTACTTCATCAACAAATTCTTCATCAAGTTCGTCGGTTTGAGCATCTTCCAAATGTTGTAACATTTTTCTTTTACAACCGGGATGTGGTAAACTTAAATTTGGTAAATATAAATAAAAAATAAAATTATATATTAAATATATTAATTATGTGATAACATTTAGAATTAATATTAATAACCAAAGTATGCAAAGTATATTTACCCATAGACATTGAAGTCATAAAAGAATCTCCCGATGCCCGCAGCGGCTGTGAATTGAATATTGAAATGTCGTTATTATTTATACTTTGTGTTTTTTTTTTTTTTTAATATTATTAATCATTCACCTTCGGGATTTACATTTTGTAATTTTTCCAGAAAGTAATCCTTGAAGCTATCTGGATTTTCCAGAGTAAAATCACGAAGCAAGATAACTAATCTGGGTAAAAAGTCACCATCTTCGGGTTCTTGAATGAATTTACTTAAATCGGTCATAAGATACAATTTACCGATATCATCCCTGCCGACAATACCATTAATGTTATAAATGAAAGTTGACGAAGAAGCTAAACATAAAATGAATAGCTTTGTCGCCCAATTTTGGTCTTGTTTTGGGTCATCGATTCCTTCGGAATCGAAAACAATTACACGTTTTTGAATCGTGCTGCCATCGGATTGTTTACTTGTTATAGTGAAAGGAGGAGACCACATGTATATCCCACGTGTGCACCCTTCAACTTTTGCTCCTAAATCAAAACCGTCATGACGTCCGTGCAATACATTTGCGAACCAAGATTTACCACGACGATAAGAACCAACTACCGAAATTATAGCGAGAGGTTCACGAATCCGTTTAAGAACATCTAACGCTTCTTGATTTAGCACAATTTTACCAAACTTTCCGTTGTCAACTTCATATCTTAATAGTTGCATTGGAGCACCTTCACGGAATTCAATTCCTCTACCGAACTTATTACCCGTATTACCATTTTCTGAAAATCCATTGCTTCTTGTTTCACTAGATAATTTAGAATGAAGTGTCATTATTTTAATACGAATGTGTTTATTTTATTTTTTTTTATGTAAATTTTTAATAAAAAATATTTTTTGAAGGGGTTTTTTTTTTGGAATTTTTTTTATTTTTTTTTTTTAATGAATTCGAGAAGTTTATAAAGAAATTTTATTTGAATAACATTATTTTTTTATTATTGTTTCCCCAATTATTGCTTTTGTTTCCAAAACAAATCTCATTGATTTTGAACATAAAATTGAGATAACATTAAGCCTTTTAAAGAATAATCACAATGAGATGCATTTAAATATTTATAACAAGTATAAAAAAGATGTAAAACAATGCAAGGACCATTTACGACTTGTTTTAGTATTCACATTCATAGATGCATTTATTGATAATCTTTCGCCAAACTTTCCACATTAAGAAATGTATTCTTGATTGTTTTGTCATTTATTATCTAAGAAATTTAAGGGTTCGCTACATAAAAAAGCATTTAAAATACCTTTAAACAGTTATAACTGACACATGGATGTTCATTGAACTGATAAGTTTTACATGACGATCATTTTTGCTTAAAATTTGACAATCAACTTAAAATTTAAATGATTTTTTAAATTAATGTAAAAGCTTAAATTTTTAATATAACCTAGAAGGACTCATTTAATTTTAACCAATCAAACTAAAAATAGCCATTTCCGCAAACTTAAGACAGGTGATCTGAATGATTCATACTAGTACTTTTATAGGAAGATAATAACACAATTGATTGGATTCAAAACTACTATAAAGAGTTTTTAAAGTTTATATAGATCATTACCTATGATTCAAATTAGACCAAATTTTAATATATTATAAATACAATTTCATTCTATTTGAACTCGGTTTCTGAAAAATATCAATTTTTATTTAATTTATATTATAGATTTTATCTTAACAACTAGTAATTCAAATTAGCTTAAATTTTGATATGTTATAGAATAAGATTATTTTTATAATACCACATTTTACAGTAAATATTTTTTAGGGAAATGATGGGTGGATATTTGCACAAAAAGATCGAACATTTGATCAGTTACTTTCATATACTAGATTTTGATACGATTAATAATACCTTTAACAAGATTTACCCATTTGCTTCAGAATTTACTGATTGAGGATTCATACCGGTTTTTTGATGATGGTTTACAGATAATTCATACATGTTAGATGCAATTTCCACACCTAATGCCTCTCCATAGCTTTCAGATCTCGAAATAGAAGTTGCTTGTAAATCTCAAAAAACCATTCTGCCATCTTTCTTGTGATAGTTCAAACTTTTCAGGATCCTTATTGTATGATAAGGGGTGAGGGAAGGTCATGCCCTATAAAAAAATTGATCCTTGTTCATGTTATTTCCGTGAAGGGCTCATTTTCACGAAATTTTTAATCTTAAATCACAGAAATTTTCATATCATTGATACAGATTCTGTGAAAGGCTCATTTTTTCACGGAAATTTCACGTAAGCCACAGAGAAATAATGGAAATATTCGGTGAAATTTTTTTATAGGGATGGCCAGGCCGTATTGAATCGTTATGTACAATACAATTTAGGTTAAATATCTTTGTATCCTTAACCTGCAAAAGTTACATTTCAGGTGCTTCTTGATGATCTTGAAATCTTGAGTCACCAGATATGATTTATAAAGGAAGTCTCAGAGCATTGTGATAAATTTTCTGAAATAAATGAAACGAAAATGTAAAAAATTGCTCAAAAGAATTTGAATTATTTGAAACTATAGTGCATTTAACCAAAGAGCAATGGCCCAATAAAATAGATATGAAGAGTAAACCTCGAAACCCATTGGTGGTGCACAATGAGAAATTGGCCCAAACATATTATACCACCGAATTAACCTAAAGTTCCAAGGTTTTTGCAAAACGCCAGATTAAAGGTACTGTCTACTAGCAAGAAACTGGCCCAACGAACGAGCTGTCTTACCAAAGCTTCCTTAGCGACGTGTAATTTTATTTTATTTATTTTATCTGTATAATTTTATGCCAACGTAGTAAATTTCCGTTAGTTTTTAGACCATGCGTTGACTTATATATGACTGGTTGACATGGTAAAAATTTATTCAACCAGGATTGCAAAAAAATAATTCTGAGAATGGAGTTAAAGAAAAAAATTCGTCATACGTAATACGTGACACTCAATTTCAAAACACATGACGCATTTTATGTCACATGAATTTGTCATTGACGACTGTTTTTTAAAGTTTTTACAATTTATAAATTTATTTACTAGAATGAAGATCACATGGCAAAACTACGCGTAGAGGTCCCAACGATCTTTTTTAGTACCATCGTTTTGTGCTTTTTTCAAGAATTTCCACATTTAATCATTTAAATCATCATTATGATCAGGAATTATCGTTTCATCAAGTTCATCAAATTCATCAAATTCATCAGGCACAACATTTGAATTCAACCATTTCATAGCCCCTTCCTCATCTCCCTTATTTATATTGAATGCGCGTGCGATATTTGCCTCTGAATATCCCTTCTTTTTCAAATGGCATAATTGATCCTGTGATGGCTTAAAATAAGTATCCAAGGTCGTTTGTCCACTACTATTTGAAGAACGAGATTGTGAATTTCCTCTTCTTCCCCTACCACCCCTACCACCCCTGTCACCTCTGCCACCTCTGCCACCCCAATTATTCCTACCTCCTCTGCCACCCCAACTATTCCTACCTCCTCTGCCACCCCAACCACCCCTACCATCATTACCTTCTCTTTCATTATTTTGATATTGTTTCCATTGATCATTATTACTTGTTTTGTTTCCGTCAATTTCATTTATAAGTTTTGGTGATTCATTATCTTGTGAGACAATCGAAGTAGAATAAATTGTGCTATCAACATTTTTAATTTGTTTGTCCTCTACGCCGTTAGCAAACCGGTTTTTAAAAGGTAGAAGATTGCCTTCCGGATTATGCTTTTTACTTGCGTTATTATCATCAAATATGGCAAAAGATATATGACGATAAGTCTTGGGCAAATTCTCTCCACCACCAGCGTATTCGTTTGAAATGACATCATAAAATAATTGAGCCATAGTAGACGGAGGGTTACCATAAGCCCCACATCCAAATGCACTGAGAACTATTGAATCATGGCCTTTTTGATAATAATAAGAAATAATAAACTTTCGATAATTTGAAAATGAGAGAGAATTTCATAAATTAAATAATAAGCACCATGATGTAATCCTATGTTAAGAATCGATCGAATTTTATGTCGAGTTTTTCTTATGTCTTCAGGAGTTAAAGTAAATTCTCCAGATTGATCTTTGATGATTTTTGGGCGGCGTATTGCTGCTACTGCCTAATAGAGTTTAAAATTTCGAATTTAATAGTAATTATATATATATTACAGCCTAATGATAGAGAATTATTTTTCATACCACAAAAGAAAGTATCTTGGGAACTTCCAAAAATTCATATTTTTCATGCTCGCTAGATCTAATAACAGTTGCATTAGGACAGTATACCCCTCCTAATGATGGTATGGGGTACCAATTTTTTTTGTTACGTTCATGATATTGATAAAGATTTGTACGACGAAAAAGATTTTCTTCTTGGGCTCCCGCACCATTTTTGTAACCTATTCGAAATTACAGTTATTAATATGGTTATAATATTTTAAAATTAATAGGAATTCAAAACCGTTATTTACCACCACCAGCCTTAGTTGCACTAGCCATGTTTAATACCAAAGGATTAAAACCTTCTCTCACCATTTCCAAAGCTCTTTTTAGACAATCACCATCCACCACTTTTATATCTGGTTTTTCTTGAAACTCAGGAACAATTTCTCTAGTTAAAGCTGAACCATTTGGATAAAACTTCGCTTTGTGAATTTCTTGTTCGATAAGTTCCTTACTGAGTTCGATTACTTTATTTGTACGTGGGTGAACATAATTCAATTTATTGAAGGCTTCAATGGTTTTTTCCTGAACGTCTATGCGTTGAGACCTTTCCATAATTAACCTTAAAATGTAATAAAAATAATAAATGGGAATTATTTTAAAATTTTACTTTATATAAAAGATCCGGAATTGACGCCAATCAGGTTACTCAATTGCAATTGTTGAGGCGCAGAAAATTCAACATAAATACATTTATTATTAATTTATTAACTTTGTAAACCTTCTCATTTCAATTATATAAATATCAATCAAACATAAAATAGCAATTCAATTTAAAAATTCGCATCATCATTTCTATCTTAAACCAGCTTTCACTTCACTCGTTATTGCTTCCATCACATCTAATTTCAATAGATCCTTAACCGGAAAGTGTAAAGAAGCTTCATATGCCAACTTTATCGTCGTATCATTTATATGAAGGAAATGACGACTTAACGCATTGATGCTATTGCAAACTCGCGCGATTGCCTCACGCCTTTCTTGATCAATTTCCTAATAGTAAGAAAGATAAATTAATATTAAAATATATATAATAGAATCGATGAGATTTTAATATACGGTGATTACCTCATTTTCATTTGAGTAAATAGCATCGGAATCTTGGTCTTTGGATGATTGTGTTGTATGCTTGCTTACCCAAATATAACCATTCAAACCTAATGCCAAATCAACTCCATACGGTAAAGTATGAAAATGAGTTTTACCTCGTTGTACAAGCGTTTGCGGAACTACGACGAAAGAACCGTTGCGTAACTTTAGAGATCGTATGTATTAGCGTATGTGATTGATTATTGATAACAATTTACTTAATAAAGTACCTTGCCGTATTTTAGATTTCTTGTATGTAAAGACGAGGAACCATCTTGAAAGTGTCCTTGTACTTCAGCCTAAATGTTGCAAGAAGGGTTATTAAAATGATTTGGTTTGAAAGGAATTTTTCAATTCGATACCATACCACTAATAGATCCCCTTCGGAGAAAAATTTTCTCATTTGAAGTTCATCTGCTTCAGTTTTACGTCTCTATAATTTAATAGATATTAAAAAATTTAATAGTAAGCAAAGGAAACTGGGGAATATAACTAACTTACTTGTATACCACCGGGAAGGTTAATAGCTGACAATAACAACACCGCATCTTGCCTTGAATTTATATCAACTTTCCATCTTCTATGTGAAACCTATTATAAAATCATCAATAAGATATTTCACTCAGTTTACCCGAATTGAATTTATCAATTTATCTCACCTCTGTAATTCTGCCGATTACTAAATCGCCAACTTCACCATTGTATCTATTTAAAGATAAAATTCAATTATGATAATCACGTAGTCTTATAAAATACAAAGGTTCCTTACATACCTCGCGTGTAATGACTTTACAGAGATTAATTTGTTGACGCGTTCAACCACACCAGCCACTGATGCTGCACATTTTCCTGATTCTGTTGTATAGGTACCATGACCTCTAAATAAATATAGTAAGAGTTGAGTAATTATCTGAATTCTAATAATATTCAAAAACAAACCAACCTCATAGATTGTGCATCACTAGTTATAAGTTGCCCAGGAGTTACTACTTGTGACTCGAAATTTTTCCTCTCTGTTTTAAGAAGCATATCTATGTCGCCATCCATATCAACATCAACTATAAATTTTTGCGAGGATGGTTTTGGAGAAAGGAATTGAAATGCCATATTGAAAAATGTAAAATTGGAAGAGATTTGGAGAATTGAAGATAAAAACGCGACAATTTTTTATTTTTGATTACATATAGCTCAAAATAATTTTTTTGTGTAACTTGTCACTTTTTAGTTGAAATGTTGATGGTTATGGATGGATTGTTGGGATTATATTTCGCAAAGATGAATTGAAAAGAATACTTGACCAAGGCAATTATTACATATCTGGACATATTTATCAATATTAGTTTCATATATTTTTTATATGGATAATAATTCTATATTATTATGAATGCTCATTGATTGTCACCCAAAGCCAATAAAGCATATAGAGTTCAGTTTCTCTTTCTCTTATTTACATTTTGAAAGTTAGGTAAAGATACGGATTCATTCTTTTCAAAGATTTAAATCGATTTTTATAAAAGTGCTCCGAAAAAGATAGATGGCACCTAATGAACTGACAATCGAACAAGAAGTTGAATCAAAGACCATATCGCTAAAATTGACAAAGATGTTTTTTATTAATGATAGTCAAAATGTTATTTTACAAACTGGATTTTTCTCGAGACAAAACGTTCAAAAATTCCTATTTAAAAAATGACAAGTAACTAAAGAACACAAAGATAATAAGTTATGCTAATAACCACTTGATGTGGCGTCTAGCAATTTTGAGCTCAAATCTTTTTCTTTGGTGGCGTTATGTCGTTCACTTTTTGAAAAAGTTACACACACTACTTTATATAATTAATTAATCATTAAAAAGTCATGCAATTTCAATCGTTTACTCTTTTCGTTTATAAAAAAAAAATTAAATATTTATAACTCATAACCATCATGAATCCTTCCGTCTTTGCTCGTTCGGCTATTCGTTCCCGTGCTTTGGCCCGTCCAATTCGCGAAAGTGTATATCATTGGGAAAATGTTGACGGTTCGGTTAGTTTTTATTTTAAATATTATCAATATTATTTCAGTTTACTTTTTTGAAATGTTAATCAAGTTTTGATTATTAGCACCTTCCTTTCAGTACCAAGAGTAAAGTAGGTCTTGCTATCAAAATGACTTTATACCTTGGCACAGGCTTCTCTCTTCCATTTATTAGTAAGTAATTTAGAAAAAAATAATATCTTTACCTTATTACTGATTTCGACATTGAAATTAAATTTGTATTTGATTCATTTAGGCGCTTGGTGGCAATTGTAAGCATTCATTCATTTTTCAATTATTTTTTATTTTTTTTTATTTTTACTTTATTTTATTAACTTTTTTTACAATAATTTACGGTGATGTGTGTAGTCATAAGGCCGGTAAACCTTTTTTTAGAACTGGTCCACCTCCTGAATAAATGATTTTGATTGAATATTTTAATGTCCAAACATCATATATGTAAAAAAATATGATTTCAATCTAAAATTATGTTGAAAAGTAGTAGTTAAATGATATCCTCAATAAAATCCTAATTTTTCTTTTAATTTTCTTCATTATTCTCATCCTCATCATCATAATCAGCACTGACTAAAGATATGCATGCCGTATTATTACCTAAATAGACCAAATGTGATGAGGGTGGATTCGATGCATGATTTTTGTGAAATGGATGAAAAGTTTAAATAAGTTTACCTTTATTTGGCTTACTATTTAATAAAGTATCAAACGTAATGTTTTCAGAATTTAATACTTCTGTCAGCTGATCGTTTCTTTGCTTTTTATTTTCCTTTCTCTTTTTAATAATCAAATCCTTGTTATTTTCACCACTTTTTTCGTTTCCATCAATATTGTTTCCGGGATTCCAATCATTATCCTTTAAAAATGGATCCGTTTTGAGCTTGGTATTAACTGCCACCATTACCGATAATTGGGCAACCTTATCCTTAGGATCATGAATATGGAATTTTGATTTTTTAAATTTTGACGATGATTTATTAAATATGGATGATGCTGTTATTTCTAATTTACGTTTTTGAGCTTGTTCAAGTAATTGATCTATAATAAAATTTATATTAATTGATGATGATAATCATTTTATTAAAATCATAATAATAACCTGAAAATTCGGTTGTTTTTGCTTTTACTATATCATCTTGAGATTCTGGTAACAGTGGGATAGATAATGCATTTCTATCGCGTATTTCTTCATCTGCAAGTCTTTTGGCTTCTAGTTCTTTTTTCTCCTCCTTTTAAGAAAAAATTCGAAAATATCAGCAACTGCTAAAAGAATCTTGAAATAAAATAAAAAATAAAAAAATCCTTTACTCTAAATTTTTTACGCATTCGCTGTGAATGCGTATAAGGATCCGCCCATTGTTTATCATTTAATCTCTTTCAAGGAAAATAAATATTGTAAATTCATTTCTGCAAAGAATTACCAGACCATTATTATTATATGATATTATGGACGTACTTGAAGTTTTGTTAAAATAGGAATAACTTCTTTAGATCTCAATTCATCTTTAACAGAATGTTCGAGCTTATATAATGCATTATCAACCAATTTCTTAGCTTCTTCGTCATCTATTAAAGTACAATATTTTTTTACAAAAAAAAAAGTTCAATAAATGAATTTAAAAAAAATTCAAATATTATAGAAATAATGTTAAACCTTTTAATTTAATGACTTCAGAATCTTCTGGCTCCCAAGTTTCGACTTTTTTACGAGCTCCAGAAATAACCGAATATTCAGCATTCTAGAATAATTCATTCTTAATAAATTGTCGTTTTTGAATAACTTTTAATATATATTACATGATTCTCACCTTTGGATCTGTGTGAATTTCAATCCAATTGTCACATAAATGACATTTCATCCGAAAACTGAATATTGGCGTACTAAAATATTTCCCGATTTTCTTTTTTTCTGCATTGTATCTAACACCTTTATAATAATAATAATAATAAAAAGATGAATGATGATTTGAGATTTCTCAAAGATAAAACCCAGACAAAAAAAAAAAACTTTAGGTCTATTACCTTTACCGACATGGTTTCCACAGCCTTCACACCAAATGTTGAAAGGTAATTCGAATCTTGTGAGTTTATATGTTTTTATGGTTATTGTTACAAAAACACGTAATTTGTTCAGTTTCGAATTTTGACACATGAACTAAAGAATTATATTACCAAAACTTGACGAGAATACAAACCTGACAATTAAAATTCCCTGATCAATTTTACGTGCACGATCACCAAGCGGATGTTTTCCAACAAATTTATTAACAGAACCCTGTAATTTATGAAAATTATTGAGAATCTTTGAAATTGAAACTGAAAGATATAAAATTCAATAAGTACTTTATCTGGAGTCCAATCAGGTGGATAATATTTATTAAAGGGTTGCATTTTGTATAACAAACTTTCAAAAATTAAAAAGATCAGTTTAATTGAATTTGAATTCCGAAATTCTGTTTGACGTGCCTTTGTATGCATCTTTACCAACCACCACGTGAGGTCTCTTTTCACGTGTAACATTTCAGTCTCCAATAAAAAGAACGCCAAAAAATAATCACCTAACATGATAAAGATTCTATTACTAGCTCAAGGTACAATTGTTTTCAGTTTTAATTATTCATTTCAGGTTAATTGATTCAAAAAGCCTTTTGGAAAAAAAGTTATATTTTATAAAAAAATGAATAATGCATTCATTATTTTTAGGCTATTAAAAAAATTGAGCGCTAAAATTGCAGCTCAAAGATGGGTCGGATCTTGATATATTAGAAATGTCTAATAAATATGCAATAAATAAATTTGAAGAATTGATCAGAGTCGGATAAATTTAGCAGAGTTGATGGAATTGAAAATTAAAGTTGGCGGAGAACAATGGGAAAAATCAAGAAAAAATGGTGGTAGGTCCCGAGCTGCTCATGCTGTAATATCATTAAGATAGAAATGGATCATTCTATATTGACCACAACGATAATAAACAAGAGCATGATAATTACAATAACAACCACATTGATGAATATCATAAATATCTCCCCAATAATTATATCCACCATTTTCAATTTCCAAACCGAAGAATTGGAAAACTGTTCATCAAGAAAGTTGCTAATTGGGCTAATTATTATAATGGTTCATTGTCTGATTCTTAATCTTGTAAAGCACTGTAGTTTAATGGTGACCTGGAATGGGTTGATTGAATTTACGACCTCCTTAATCATGGATTGAAGTAACGATCAACTTTTATTGAAAGATGTAATTGTTTTCTTAATGATGCTGGCTACTCGAGATCAGAAGATCCGGCAAATCCATCGTGCAGGTATAATTCGGACAATGGTACAAAATAAATATATCAATCTTGGTACTATACTCATTAAAAGAATTTTAATCAATTTTAATGAGTAAAATTGATTTTTCCCGGTAGTTTTCTCCCTTTATATTGCAAAGGTCCCATATCATGACACCTGGTCATTTTTTTTCTTTTGTAATTTTGATATCAGTAAAAAATTTATGATAATTAACAATGTTTTACCCGAATTTGGGTTTTAGTTTTCAACTAAATAAAATTTTTATTTCAAAGATGATGTAATAAAGATATGAAAATTTTCAAGTTAACCTGAATTTATCAGCTTTGTAAGATCCATAGTTTATTTTATTAGAATTAGTCAAAATAAGATGTAAATTCAAAGTTTCCCGTATAATGTTCGAGCATAATTTTGATAATGCCTAGATCGACCGTTTGATCCGTTTTTTTGTCTTGCGATTCATTGTAAATTTAAATCAGCAAACCCAATTCTGGATTTTGATTATATATTTAGTGGATTTTACGATTTTATGATGAACGATCAGAAATTAACTGGCCTTATGCGATTAGATACTTTGTTATTAGTAAAATCTTCATACATTGCTCTCAAATTCTTTGCCTTTTTCTTTCTGAATATGGTGAATTCGGTGATATCCTATGTATAATGATTCTTGAATAATAAAGCCATTGGTTTATTGATCCCTTTCTAGAGATGAAACTCTGAAATTTCGTGAATCATATATAATTTCTTCTCCATTCTTCTTTAGAATCTTCTTGTACATAATTTTCATCATATGCCCCTACCTTTTGGAATTCCTTTATAACGTTTCACGGAATTCCAAACCCGAGCAACTTCAACGTTTTTATAAATTCACCTGGAACCATCAAGACCGGTCTTCGGGAATACTTTACGTTCTGCTTTCTCATTAGATATTTCCACTACAAATTGACAACCCGATTATCATGCTTGACGCCGATAAATGAAAATATGCTAAAATTTGTTATTATATAACCACCCTTTTGATCTTAACATCATAACTTATTACTTCCGAGATTGGATACTAATGATTTTGGGCATACAAAATAATTTATAGTGAACTCGTGTTTTAAAATTTTGCTGAAATTCAGAAATAAAAATTGATTTAGTTGAAAAATAAAGAGTGAAACAACTTTATTTATAGAAGAAATTACATATAAAAAAAAAAAAAAAAGAATTTAAGCTACAGAACGTCTTGTTATTTGATGTTGCTAAAATTGAAGCGTGACCAACGTCTGTGATTGACTGAACCCGCCAACTTGTAAAACTAATCCTCTCACTTGCACCAACTATTTTACCATCACATTTTAAAAGAACAGATTGATTCTCATTAATAATTTTCAAATCCCAGTAACAAATTTGTGAAGATACTTTTCAACTAGATCTAATCTATAATTTACGTTAAAATCATATATAATAACCTTACAAAAATCCTTAGGAAAACGCCACATAAGCTTAAAATTAAGCGCGACCAACATCTGTGATTGGCTGATCTTGAGTCGTCACATTAGCTTAACATTGAAGCGCAACCAACGTCTGTGATTGACTGATCTTGAGTCGTCACAGAAGTTTAAAATTGAAAACGCGACTGTAATTGCCCGATCAGGAATCACCACATAAGCTTGAAATTGAAGCGCGACCAACGTCTGTGATTGACTGATCTTGAGTCGCCCCATAAGCTTAAAATTGAAGCGCGACCAACATCTGTGATTGACTGATCTTGAGTCGTCACATAAGCTTAAAATTGAAGCGCGACCAACGTCTGGAATTGGTTGATCTTGAGTCGCCACATATACTACCTGTAATACTCAAAATTTAATAAAATCATTAAGAAAATAATTACACCTTTCAAGAAAGTTAATACATTACTTCAATCCATAATAAAGGAAGTGGAGATGAATGAATAATAGGTTCAAATCGTTGCTTTATCTTAGGTTTCCATCCACTCACATCAGGTCGGAATTCGTCAGTATCGTTCACAAGGCTTTGAATCAATATTTTTATTTTAGGTATTTTGTGTTTAATCTGTATAAATTTTATTCGTTAACGTTAGTGAAAATGAATAAGTTAAAGCTGAAAACAAAAAGAAATACCTGTCCGCTACTTAAGATAGCACTACAATCTTTCTTTCCTAAGAACGTGATTGTCATGAATAGGTGGAAAAAAATAAGTTGAAAATTCCAAAGAAACTATTTTTATTTTTAAAAAAAGATGGGGCGCGATTGATAAACAAAAAAAAATGATTTCACGTGATAATGGTACGATTTGATTGGCTTGGACAGAGATCCCAAAATCCACAAATCTATAATTATATTGCTAAATCTCGTGGACCGCAGGACCCCGAACTATACTAATAGAACTCACAAATGTAGTACGAACACGCAATTAAAATTATATTGTATGGTATAACTCGGTCAATATTAATGCTAGAAAGATAATATTACTACCATTAGATTCCTCTCGATTAGACGAATCCAATGGTATAAATTTCATTAAAATTGAATTACTGGTTATTGAGATAATGGGTATGTAGGATAAGTAAATTTGTAAAAATAAGCATCTTTTGGCAAAGTTTACATATAAACTCTACGCAAACTCAAATGTGAGTTATATTAGTATAGTTTGGGATCCTGGGACTCCACAGCAAAGGGTGGTAATAAGGTGATCAAGAGATTTTGAAAAATTTGCAATTTAAATTACACAATTTATTTGGTCGATTATCATAAAATAATTTTGATTTTTCAAAAATGGTTTTTGTAATCCAAGACAAATTTTTGCAAGTAATTATTTGAGTATATTAACCTTCTTTAATATATTTATTTTTATTTAAATCATAAAATTTGTATAATACATAGGTTTAATAAAGTTTATGTAATATTTCACAAAAAACAATTATTTTGAAATTACTTTTTTGAGATTTCAAATGCTTGTAAGTATAAAAACAATAATAAAAATTTAATAGCAACATCAATAACAAAAGAATAAGTAAAAATAAGCTTATTTGTTAGTCTAATTTTCTTCTGAATTATTTGATTTTGAACAAATAATTTCACGAAATGACAAATTAACAGCGTAATTTCCTTATACAATTCCTTTTTCAAAGTAAGTGATTTAACAAAAATTGTAAAAGGCAGAATATTAAAATCAAAGAAAAGTTGTGAATTGTAGCTTTTTATAGTCATTTTCAATCTGTTTTTTATAAAAAACAACTCTTAGGTATTTTAAAGTAATATAGAAGTGATAAAAAAAGTCAAATTTACGACTTTTTACTAATAAATTATAAATAAAAAAATTTATTTTTCAAATAGTTAATCTGGTAGGTTCATGATAATCATAAAATCTCAAAATCTGTTTGGTCAACATATTATCACCTTTTGCTATAATGGTCTTCATATTCTAAAAAAATATATATTTACAAACTTACTAATAAAAAAATTTTATAATAATTTATTTTTAATTCAAATAAAATAAAAGGTAAATTATATTAAGAATTATATTATAAAGAAAAAATATTAAAAAAAAATTATATTATTATTTTATACAATCAGACCTTTATATAATCACATCCTATATAGAGTAAGTGCTGAGAAAAGAGACCAAATTGAAAAATTTTTCAAAAATTTATTTCTAATTAAAATAGATACAATTTTTATCATTTAATCCAGAATTTTAATTATTTTTAAAAAAGTTTTTTTTTACAATTTGGTCTTTTTCTAGCATTTATCCTATATAGTCATACTTAAGGTTGCTTGTCTAAACTCATTTTGGATTTGGCTAAATGTCTAAACCTTTAGTTTTGCTAAATTTTTACTAAGTG